AGGTAGGATAAAAGGTAGAAAGTCCGAGGCGTGGTGGCGCAGGCCTTTAATCCCAGCTCTCTGGAGGCAGAGGTAGTCCGATCTCTCCGCGTTCAAAGCCAGCCTGGTCTACATAGTGAGTTCTAGGACAGCTGGGGCTACAGGGAGATACTGTCTCAAAAAGACCAAAAAATAAAATATTTAAAATAACTAACAGGGAATATTTAAAATAACTTCTAGGGAAGTCCTGCAGCCCTGAGTATGAATAGTACAAATGGAAGTTCATTAAGAGTAAGCCCCATAATTTGGAGGTTCAGACTCCCTTTAACAGGGCTCTGACACAACAAGGATACATGTCCAAGTTTTCCCTGACCCAAAACAACTGCTTAAGCAAGCGAATTTCCGCTCCCCCTCCCACAGCTTCTAAGAAATACCCTTGCACCTCCTTAAGAAAGCTAGAGCCCCAGGAGAATCCTGCAGGTGGGTAAACAAAAAGACGGCAACTAAACTTTACAGGCACCTGGTAAGTACCAGGCGCGATCAAAGGTTTATGTCAGCTCTTCCTACAGCAGCACTCAAGTTCCGGCTCGTTTCACCGCTGAGGAAACATGAGGTCCAGAGAAGCTGACACTTCGTCTGAGAACAGAGACCAGCAGGAAGAGCTCCGATGAACCAAATCTCATCGCCTCGGTGCCCACAATCCCGGCTCAAGCCTGGGCGAACCGCTGCACTGCGGGGCCCAAGTTTCCGAATCCAGAAAAAAGATGGGCCAGCGGCGGAAGCACTCACCTGGCGTGAGCACAGACTGCAGAGAAGATAACGCGGCGGGATTCGGTTCTGCACCCGGGAGGGAGGCAATGAGCCTCAGCTTAAGTCCGGAGGTGAAGAGGAAGCACCACCCCAGGGAGGGGCAGGGGCCGGGTCCAGAATCACAGGCGGGATGGACGCTCCCTCCACTTCCCGCTGAGTCCAGGAGCAGGTGGAAGAAGGGCAGCGACTGCACGTCCCTTCTCCGGGTACCTGGCAACTCTTCCCCTCTTTCCAGTGCGAGCGTTTGGAGGGACCCGGGCGCCCAAACTGTACAAGCGCGCCCACTACGTGGCTAGTCCTGGGAGCTGGACGCACCTCCCACCGGCCCACAGTGCACCGAGCCGCCAGCTCCCTAGGCCCCGGTGCTCTTCTTCCTGGAGGGGAATTTGCCTGTTTTTCCTG